TTTCAGTGGCAGCAGCTGAATCTGGAGCCAGTTCCGACTTACATACAAATTCAACTTAAGAACAAACCTATAGTCCCTATCTTGTACGTAACCCGGGGACTGCCTGTACTACAAACAAGTAACATGGTAAAAAAACAGTTTTGACATATTTGTTCAGTACTGTGATGTTACAGAATGCTCTCAAGTAAGAGTTCTAAATTAGAATTCAAACAGTCCAATTCAGGCCTCAAGAAAAACTTTTGTTGTCTTTAAGAAAAGCTATGTGCCCCCATCAAAGGAAAGAATTTGTCTGTAAGGTTAAGGTGAAAATCATGGGCTTTCTTCCCTTTTTGCTCATAGACATGAAATGTTCTATATTAAAATGTATTCTCTGAATTCAAGAACAAGCCAGGCAGAGGCTATGTCTAAACTACATTCCTCTTTTGAAAGAGGAATGTAAATGAAGCTGATCAAAAATGCAAATGAAGTATAGATTTACAAATCTCACGCTTCATTTGCATAATCACGTGAGAGTGCTTTTTCAAAAAAGGGATTTTCGAAAAAAGAAACCACAATCTAGACGGGGTTTTTTAAAAAAAAAAAAACCACCCTTTTTCGAAAGAACCCGTACACTTTTTCATTTTTTCAGGAGTACAGGTTCTTTTGAAAAACGGGGGTTTTTTTTCGAAAGAACACCATCTAGATTGCGGTTTCTTTTTCAAAAAAGTGCTCTCACACAGTTATGCAAATGAAGCGCAAGATTTGTAAATCCACACTTCATTTGCATTTTTGATCAGCTTCATTTACATTCCTCTTTCGAAAGAGGAATGTAGTTTAGACGTTCCCAGAGAGTGAAAATCAAAGTTTATTAAAAGTATAGAATGATACCTTCATGAAGGCTAATTTGAAATTTACCATGATAAGAACATTAAAAGAAACATGACTTTAGTTTAGGGTCATCGATTAATGGCAGTTAACTAATGCAATTAACTAAAAATAATTAATCGTGATTAAAATGTTAATTATGATTAATCGCACTGTTAAACAATAGACTACCAGTTGAAACACATTCAATATTTGTGAATGATTTTCTACAGTTTCAATACTGATTTCAATTATAAGACAGAATACAAAGAGTACAGTACTTCCTTTATTTTATTGTTTTTATTACAAATATATGGACTGTAATATGATACACAAAAAATAATATTTTTCAATTCACCTCATATAAATATTGAAGTGCAATCTCTTTAGCATGAAAGTATAACAAATGTGGAGTTTTTGGGGGGGTTACATAACTCCACTCAAAAACAAAACAATGTAAAATTTAGAGCCTACAGGTCTACTCAGTCCTACTTCTTGTTCTGCCAATCACTATGACAAACAGTTGGCTTACATTAACAGGAGATACTGCTGCCTGCTTCTTATGTACAATGTCACCAGAAAGTTACAACAGGTATTTGCATGACACTTTTGTAGCTGCCATTGTAAGATACTCACTGCCAGATATGCTAAACATTCATATCTCCTTCATGCTTCTGCCAACTTCCATAGGACATGCTTCCATGCTGATGATGCTTTTTAAAAAATAATGCGTTAATTACATTTGTGATTGCACTCCTTGAAGGAGAATTGTATGTATCCTGCTCTGTTTTACCCATTTCTCCCATATATTTCATGTTATATCAGTCCTGGATGATGACTCAGCACATGCTTTTTTTAAGAATGCTTTCACAGCAGATTTGACAAAATTCAAAGAAGGTCCCGGTGTAAGATTTTTCAAGATAGCTACAGCACTCGACCCAAGGTTTAAGAATCTGTACTGCCATCCAAAACCTAAGAGGGAGAGGTGTGGTGCATGCTTTCAGAAGTCTTAAAAGAGCAATGCTCTCATGCAAAACCACCATAAAAAGAAAATCAGTTTTCTGCTGGTAGCATCTGACTCAGATGATGAAAATGAACATGCTCAGTCCTTACTACTTTGGATCTTTATCAAAGCAGAACTCATCAGCATAGAAGCATATCCTCAGGAATGGTGGTTGAAGCATGAAGGGACATATGAATCTTTAGTGCATTTGGTACTAAATATCTTGTGACGCCAGCTACAACAGTGCCACATGAACAACTGTTCTTTGATTACACTGTAAACAAGGAGCAGGCAAGATTCTCCTGCAAATTATAATCAGACTTGTTTGTCTGAGTGATTGGGTGAACTACAAGTAGGACTGAGTAGACTTATAAGCTCTAAAGTTTCACATGGTTTTATTTTTGAATGCAAGTTTTGTACATCTACTATATAACTGAGGGTATGTCTACACCACCACCCTAGTTCGAACGAGGATGGTTAATGTAGGCAACCAGAGTTGCAAATGAAGCCCGGGATTCATTTGCAACTCCGGTTGCCTACATTAACCACCCTAGTTCGAACCAGGGTGGTAGTGTAGACATACCCTTAGAGTCTACACAGCCATCCTGTTATTTCAATCTTTCCCCCTGCCATGCCCATCTCTCCTCTCTCACTTTCACTGGGCTGGGGCAGGGGGTTGGGTTGCAGGAGGAGGTATGGGATGCCTGCTCTGAGAGGGGGCTTAGGGCTGGGGCTTGAACTGCAGGAAGTGGTTCAGGGTACAAGAAGCATGGGGTGCTTGCTCTGAGAGGGGAGACAGGGTTGGGGTGTAGGAGGCATTATGGGGTGTTGGTCCTTGGAGAGGAGTTGGGGGAGGGGTGCAGGAAGGAGGTATGGGATGCTAGCTGTGGGAGGGTCGGAGCTTGGGATACAGGAGGTGGTATGGGGTGCTGGCTACAGGAGGGGGCTGGGATTTGAAGTATGGCCTCCCACCGGCAGCACTTACCGCAGGTGGCCCCTTGTTGGTGGCACAAAGAGGCTGAAGCAGGCTCCCTGGCTGCCTGGCCCCACGCCACTTCCAGAAGGAGCCAACGCATCTATGGGGCAGGGGCACATGGCTCTGCACGCTACCCTTCTCCACTGGTCCTGCCTCTCAGCTCCCATTGGACACAGTTTCCTGTTCTTGGCCAATGGGACCTCCGGGAGGTGGTGCTTGCAGGCAGGAGCAACACATCAAGACTCTTGCTTCACACATACAGAGCTGCAGGGCTGTGTTGGCCACTCCCAGGAATAGGCTGGTGGCATGGGGAGAGGGCAAGCAGGGAGCCTGCCAATTGTGATCGACTGGGAGACTCTCCAAGATTCATTAGTTGATCGCAATTGGCCAATTAGTGACTATTGGCCTATAGGCGTCAATCCTGTAACAATGAAGTCACTGAGCTTTTGTCATTGATTTCAGTATGGTCAGACACACAGTTTACAGAGTGGTTTGTGATCATTCCAAATAAAGGTAAAATGTACAATACAGCATTATCTTTTCTAGAAGGGTATGTCTACACTAGCTCATTAATTCAAGCTAGGTAGGCAAATCAGGGAACCGGGTGTAGCCAGACAGAAACCCCCCTGTAACATCCATCTTTGCTTGCCTGGAGCATACAGGGCACACAGAACAGTAAAAGCCTTGAACAGGAGGCTCAGGATATGCAGGCTGCTGTGACCGTGAATGGCTGTAAACAGAGATATGCCAATTGCTGACCAAGAGCCTGCTGAGGAGTGCCCTTGACTCAAATCCCATATTGATACGAACACACAGCCGTCCGCGGGGGGAGGAATCTCTCGCCCAGTAAAAAAATATCTAGTTCGCATAATTTAGTTCTCTCTCTTGCAAGTGTAAATTAACTTGAAACTTGCTTGTAAGAACTGGTGCCACAAACGGACCAGCACAATTTGGAATCTTAGATAAGAAAGAGGATGCGGGCCCCCAGGGGTATAAAGATAGGTCCAGCAGCACATTTACTCTGAGTGTCAATCTACCATCTATCTGCTGGTCGGGTTTGGTGTTTGACCTCCCGAGGTTCCATGGGGACGCCCACCTCGTATTCATCTTTCCTAGGAATTGAGGGACCGGCCCTGGCCTGACATGCAGGAGTCGAGAGGCACAGAAAGGGGTAAAAATTGTACCTGGATGTGGTCCTTTGTCTTAAGTGTACACATAGATTTAGCGCTCTTTAAAGATTAAGCTGTCACTTGGTACCATTATTTCTATTTTCTATCTTTATTTTCTTTGTAACCATTTTTAAGATCTATACTTGCTAGCAGTTAAGAAAGAGAGCAATAGCCATTGTAACCATATGCTTTTATAAGTCTTTTTAATAAACCTGTAACTGTTTAAGTTTTTTTACCCTGACTCCTTCAGTTGCTGTAACAGAACCAAGCACAATTTAAAAGAACTTCAGCCGGTCATAAGGGACAGGTATAGGAAGAGCTTGGGCGTTTGGATTTGTGTCTCTCCCAGGTGACAGATCCGTTGGGGAATCTCTCAGTCTTTCCTAGGCTGCCCTCTGCGAAGGGATCTTGTATTCTAGCAGCTAAAATCTGAGATGTAATAGGCTCTTCCTATGGGCCCAGGGCATCTGTCAGCCTGTTGGCTGCCCTCTGCGACAGGACCCCAGTCCTAGCAGTAAAGTCACGGACGTTAAACCTTTTCCCCGCGCCCGCGCGGGTATTCCTACACTAGCTCGTTAATTTGAGCTAGGTAGGCAAATCAGGGAACCAGGGTTGCAAATGAAGCCCGGGATTTAAATATCCCGGGCTTTATTTGCATGTTCCAGTCCGGCCGCCATTTTTAAATCCCCCTTAGTCCGAATGAACTGCCCACGGCTACACGCGGCAGTTGAAAGTTAAAGTCCTCGGAGTAACAGTTAATCCGAACTAAGGACTTAGTTCGGATTAACTTTAAACTGCCACATGTAGCTGCGGGCAGTTAGTTCGGACTAAGGGGGATTTAAAAATGGCAGCCGGACTGGAACATGCAAATAAAGCCCGGGATATTTAAATCCCGGGCTTCATTTGCAACCCTGGTTCCCTGATTTGCCTACCTAGCTCAAATTAACGAGCTAGTGTAGGCATACCCGAAGAGATTACCTTTGGTTGCATGTTATGAATTATTTACCTGCTTTTAATTTGAAGATGCTAGATGCTACAGTTCTGTTGTGGAGATGTAATTGAAAATGATAATTGTACCTTTACATTATGAGATAATTAAAGAATTTAATTTCCCTTCCATGCTGCAGATCAGCCCAATTCCCTACATAGCTCACCGAGTCTCATGACTGGCAATGTGGATGAAGCCTTGTTTGCTCCTTATCCGGAGAACCAGCCTGTTGAGAGCTGTGAGATCGCCTTTGAGGCCTCTCTGAACCTAGAAAGAAAACTACAGGATGAATTAAATTATCATAATTATGGCAGCCGGGGGGATAATTCAGAAAGCCAGCCTCTGGTATACAGTGCTGAAAAGACAGAGGAGGAAAGAAGACGAAGGGTGTCCTTTGATCCATTTGCAAAGCCATTTGCTGCTCCACAGACGAATGAATCATATCTGAAAGCTGCAAATACAGGCTCAAAAGCCAGTCCCTATAGTAACATGACCAATTACAAGCATTTACAACAACCGCCACTACCAACACCAACACCATCCAGTGCAGCAACTCCAATATGGGAACAACAACCATACAATCCAAATGTGTTTGTGGCAAGGTCTGCAGATCTGATAACAGGATGTACAGAGGATCTGTATGGATCAAGTTCAGCCAATACATTTAGTCTGAATAAACCTCCTGTGCCTGAATCTGGCCTACACCAGCAGCCAGAAGCATTCACATCTTGGTTTCCAAAGAGCCTAAATACAGAGCCAGGTAGGTGAAATATCTGTCTTATTTTTTGTCTAAAACACCAACAGTACTGCTTTTGTTGTCTTCCAGAAATAAGATGGCCACTGATCATTTTGCATCTCCCATACCAACAGGCAACAGATTTCTTACTCTCAGAACATGGTGCTGGTAGCAAAGCCTATGATATATTATGGTGCACTGCTCTTTCTTTTCCTGACATCTTTATATAATTTCAGTTCATTAAAGATCTCACATCCCCTCCTGCAACCCCAATCCTTTACCCCAGACTCCCTTCTGCACCCAACCTCCATCCCAGACACTGCACCTCCTCCATTAATACCATCGAAGAGTACACCCTTGACCACTTACCAAATTCCTGAAATGTCAAAATCCCCCATCAAAAATTATTGCCCATCCCTGTCCTAGATGCTGGATTTTCCTAGCATGGCATTCCTTTTCAACACTTTACACAAAGAAAGCATGGGTGCCAGAGCTGACAGAGAATGCAATAAGATTTCTTTCTGTCAAAGTCACATTGTATGGGGAGTCTACAATTGCTATCTACATCAGCATATTGATTGAAAGGAGTTTGTGAAGGTTGGTGTTGTCACATCTACAAGTGGAAATTGTTCTGTAACAGTGTTAAATATTTGGATAGAAAGAAAAGAAACTATTATTGGGAAGCCACGCAATATAGTGGAGAAAGTACCCGACTCTGGGGGATGGCCACCCAGAGATTTGGTGCGTGGTAAGCACAATGGCCTGCTGTGCCCTAAATCACCCTATGGACACTGTTGCCATATGGTAAAAAGTCCATGCTTAGCGTTTCAAACAGCAGTATATCAGAGTGCACTACAGAAGTTAGTGCATGGAAGTGGGGTCTACAGGGTGACCCCATGCTAGCGGGCTATACGTTCACAGACTGGCTTGCCGTGCACTCAAGCTCCATATAGGCAAACCCTGACAACCAAATCACCTACCAGCTCTTCCATTTACTTGTGCTATCTCAGGCTGGAGTTTTCAAATTTGTGTACCTAAAATTAGGTACTTAAACCCATATCTAGACTCTAATCCTGCACTGGGATCTGCTAGCAAGGAATCCCATAGGTCACGCTAGCACATTGAAGGCTCTGCACAGATGCAAGATCTCCACTAGAAGATCTTAACACTGAGTCAGGTTGTTAGGCACTTCACTAAACTATGATGTGTTTAAAATATTGGATTTTTTTTTAAAGCTTCTTAGCTTTTTGGTTAACAGCACTCCTCCCTGCCCTGTGTATTAGGAGCAGTAACCAAGTTTTGATACTGTTATAAATATTACAGCTGTTTTGAAGTACTTATGCCTTTGGGCTTTTGATTACCAAATAGTTTTGGCATTTCTGTGTTTTGTAATTATTCAGGCAAAATGGAATCCAATCCTTTTAAGAAGGGGAATTTTGCATACAGTTCTACTATACCTGTACATCACAGAATAAACACAGGTAAATGCTGTAGCATTGATATTTCCTAACGGCTAACGTGATATGCATGCTAACCTTATTTCAAAAAATTCTGACCAGCTTTACTAAAAAGTGAAACTGAAATCTCTAACCTCTAAAAACTGTGAGACACCTTGTAAAACAAAGAGGTTTCTTTAAGACATCATGTAGATGTGTTATAAAGTGCAGGGAGAAAGCGGGCAATTGCCTCAGGGGCTAGAGATTCAAAAGGTTTCAGGGCTCCCTCCTGCCACCACAGTGCCACACTGTCCAACATGTTCTGGGCAGCTTTGAGGGCTGGCTGTGAGGGCAGGGGGCCCAGCACAGTGTGCTCCAGGAAGCACTGAGGGCTGGCTGCCCCAATCCTTACCCCTTCCACCCAAGGCCTGCCTCTTCTGGGACTGCAGAGCCATCCCCCCTACCTTGCCCAGGGGCCTGGTAAGTCTGTTGGCTCCCCTGCAGATATATGAAGTGTCATGGCTCTGAGCAAAAACTTTAAAAACAACAAATAGTCTGGTAGCACTTTAAAGATTAACAAAATATGTAGATGGTAACAAAATATGAGCTGAGGGTATGTCTACACTACAGAGTTTTGTCGGAAAAACAGCTTTTTTTCCAACAAAACCTGAGTTATGTCCACACTGCAATCGCATCCTTCCAAAAGTAAATTGAAATAACAGAGGGGTTTTTCCAGGAATCCTCTTTCTACGAGGAACAATCCTTTCTCCGAAAGAGCTCTTTTGGAAAAAGGTGTGTGTGGACAGAAAGAGGAAGTTCTTTCAAAAGAAGAGGAAAGAGGAAAAAGCACAGGTGCCCTGATGGCCACTCCATCCATAGTAATCATATAGCATCCTGTCAGTGTGGACACTGTCTTTCGAAAATGCAGATCACTTTTTCGATGTGCTTTAGCAATGTAGACGCTCTCTTTTGGAAGAAGTTTTTCTGGAAGTTCACTTCTGGAAAAGCTCCTTCCAAAAGAACACCAAAGTCTAGATATAGCCTGACACACAAACTGCATGATTTTCCAGAGTTTTACAGAACTGTGAAATCATGATTTCATACCTGGATTCACTTCAAAGAGTTAAAACTACAAGCCAGATGAATCTTCAAAAGCTTTGCATTTAAGCTTTCTTCAAAAAAGCATTTTTACTAAAAGTATAGCTAAATTAAAATGAACTAAACCAACCACAAATGTGTTTATTGCTACATATTCACCAATGGCAGGGATGTTATTCTTTAATTTTATATTTATCACTGTTAGCCATTATTAGTGTTGATTAAAATCATGTATATGGAAGTATAAATTTATGTGGCACTTTATAAACTGAATATTACCATGTTATTTTCAATAAAATATGCAAATGTTACTTTGGATACACACAGGAGACAGATTTGAAGGAGCCATTTAATCACAGCCATTTTTTAAAGCAGGAGTGCTATTTTACTGTCAATCCTGAACAACTGAAAATTGCACAGCTGTATTTTGCAATTTTCTCACTTATGGAATGCTCATAAGGCAATTTATAATATATTTAGCTAAGTTTCTTCCAAGAACTATTGTCATGGTATAAAATGAACTAATATTAATATGGTTGTACTCTGAAATAGTACCTTTTTATATATATAAGTTAAATGCAAAGAAATACTAATTCAATATTGTGGCTCAGTTTTTATGCCTGTAAAATATCTCAGGGAAATTGTTTTTCTCCTCCTCATCCCTTGATTACCATAAGCATATTTATTACAGTAGTGACTGTGCCATTTTGAATGTCATGATCTTTATGCCCTTAGAATGTTAGCCTTCAATAATTTGCCTATTCAATAATTTAGTCCTCTATTGTACCTCCGAGGTACAGCCCCTCAGAGACGACAGTACAGAGACACACTAACCATAGGGGAGCACCCAGAAGCTTCCTGCCAAGGATTCCTCTAGTGTGCAAGGGTTGTACATCTGCAATTCACAGCCCTTAATGGATCACAGAATGCTTCTCCCGTAGAGCTGGTCTTGCTGTAATGGCCGGTGCAGAGGTGTATAAAGATACCGTTCTATATACAATAAATCTCATACATGTAATAGTAAATCCAGTAAATATTTCACAGAAGATTGGGGCTGGATCCTCAATTAATGTCAATCAGTGTAGTGCCATTGAAGTCATGAATGCAGAACTCCCCATCTCTTTCTTAACCTTCCTTCCCTCCCCATCCCCTGTGCACAAACTTTGTTTTAAAGAAATACCAGCACTACTTTGAAATGTTGATTTTCTTCTTTCACCTAGTGAATTACGTCTCTGAACTATATCACCTGTTCAGTTTAGAATGTTAGTTCCTAGGGGTAGGGATTGTGAGTGTCTTCCTCCGTCTTTGTACAACCCAGAGTCCTGGAATGCCACCTGCTAGAGAAGTATCATAAATTAATAATGAAAAAGTTCTTCCAATAGCCAAAGAAATGCCATTTCAATTGTAAATACAAAATAATCATTGTGGCTGTATTTGGTTTAAATACAAAATAATTAATCTCATGGATCAAAGCTTTCTTCTTTGCCTTGCCATTGTATCTCTTGAATTCTAAATTGTACATACTTGATTATATCTCAGTCTTAAATTGCCTTTACACAGATGAGAATACAAAATTCACCATATATAACAGTAGCGGAATTCAAATTGGAGCCCACAACCACATGGAAATTGAAAAACAGAATTTATACATAAGCAGTGTTCCGGTCGACACGCAAAACTCTTATGAATATTATGACAGCACGGGTATATTTGGTAAGAGTAATTTCGTTCCATTCTTTTATAATGTTCCTCTCTATAATCAGCTCTCTGTCCCCTGTGTACTCCACCACTGAGTCTCTGCACTACTCATTCTCTGGGCACAATCTGAAGGGTGACTTTAGTCTCTTACTGAGAGAAGAATCTTTAGGGAACATACAGTGCATCATGCTCCCTTGTGTATTCAGACGTTAGCCATTTTGGGTCCTTTTTTATTACATAGCATTACAATTGGCAATAATTAAGGTTAATCATCATGAGTGGTGGTTTGTACTAACATTGCTTTGTATTATTACACCATCCACCCCCCCTCCCACACATAGTGGGCAAACTATGACCCACAGACCCTGTCTGGCCTGTCAGGCCTTTTAATCCAGCCCTTGAGCTCCTGCTGGAGAACAGGATCGGGGGCTTGTCCCGCTCCTCACATTTCTTGGCTCTGCATGGCTCCTGGAAACAGCAGCATGTCTCCTCTCTGGCTCTCGTGCAAAGGAGCAGGCAGGGGCTCTGCACATGTGCCTGACCCAAGAGCTGGCTCTGCAGCTCTCATTGGCTGGAAACCATGGCCAATGAAAGCTGTAGGAGTAATGCCTGTGGACAGGGCAGCATGCAGAGCCTTCTGGCCAAACCGCTGGGTAGGAGCTGGAGTGGGGGATGTGCCTCTTCCTTTGGGAGTTGTTTGAGGAAAGGGCCACCTGGAGCTTGCACTCTAGAACCCCCACCACCAGCACACTCCAACCTCCTGCCCTAGCCCTGATCCCATTCCTGCCCTCTGAACTACTTGGTCCCAACCTGGAGCATCCTTTGTACCCTAAACACCTCATCCATGGCCCCACCCCAGAATCTGTACCCCCCAGCCAGAGCCCTCATACCCTCCCGCACCCCAACCCTCAATTTCATGAGCATTTATGGCTCACCATACAATTTCCATACTGAGGTATGGCCCTCAGGCCAAAAAGTTTACTCACCTGTGTCATAGATGATATTCTCCAGCTGCCTCTATAAAACCTGAAGCTGACATTAAGCTGAGCACCACATGTTAACACAGTGTACTGTCTCATGAGTCAGCAGGTGGGGATGTGTACATCAAGACAGAGAAAAAAACAGAGCAATGGAAGCAAAACTAGGATCAGTGGTCCCCCTAACATAGAGTTCAAATATTTCAGTACAGGAAGGGCAGAACTATTTTTAAAAATAATAATATTTGTATTTGTCAATACTGGCTTAAATCATTACTGGATGTATTTAATTTATTTAATCAAGTTAAAATAGTATCTTCCATCCAAGAAATTGCAAGCATTTTATAAACATTAACTCTAAGATCACCATTGTGAAACAGATTCTCTTAATTTTACAGATGATTAAAGAAAGTCACAAGGAAATTGTGACATGCCCTTGGTCAAAAAAGGCAAAACAGTTGCAGATCCAGGAGCATTATGACATTCAGTACTCTTCTTTAATCATTAAACCAACTGCTTACATGAAAGCCACCCATAGTCCTGTCATTACTATGACCATGTTTTAGAGAGAGACATTCAAAGGGAAGGGAGAGTTTGAACAAAGCAGTCTTCTTACACTGGTCTTTCTTTTTGCAGATAGCACCTCTATCCTCTCTGAAAGTAATCTGAATTTAGTGAGAGAAAATTTGGCTAAACAGTGGAAACATTGTGCTCGTAAACTGGGATTCACTGAACCACAGATTGATGAAATTGACCATGACTACGAAAGAGATGGACTCAAAGAAAAAGTTTACCAAATGCTGCAGAAATGGGTTATGAGTGAAGGTTACAAAGGGCCTACCGTAGGAAAGCTGGCCAAAGCCCTCCATGGCTGTAAGAGAATAGATCTCCTTAACGATTTGATAAAAATGAACCAGGAGTAGAGGGTATGGAAACTAGGTGGAAATGACTGAGATTTTTATTTGAAGATCCTCTTACTAAGAACACAAAATAGTTTTGTAGACATGCTGCATGAAAGACACATGTCTAGAACATGCACATATTTCTGTCAAGAAGTATATACAGATATCCTGTAGCTCAAAATATTAAATTTTTGAAAAGACATAACCATGTTGAAAATCCTCTCTTCAGAGAAGGAGAAAAAGCACTTCCTTTTACAATAAAGATAATAGTTTTATCTAATAAACTTTGTGCAAGGACAAAAAAGCAAACAAAATCTGAATTGTGTATGTCGTGAGAAGTAACATGGAAGGGACGGCACTGTCAATTGGAAGGGGGAAGAATTTGGATCTAAAGAACCTTCGAAGTACTACCTCAAAGCATACCACTAGCTGTGTTTAAAGTGACTTAATTACTGCCTAAAAGAAGTATGGCAGCTATGTAAATCTCATATCGGTGAACATGTATCATGAATTTTCTCACACCGCATTTAAGGTTTGGACTGAAAACAAAACCAAACTCAGCTCTTCTAAGCACAGCCAATATCCCCAGGAGATCATCATAGCTCACAGTGCCTTATTTTATTAAATGTTCTTTTTATAACTTTAAAAAAAATAAATTATATAATGAAAATACAGAAGTTTAAAAATAATACAAAGTACTGGTGTAAGAGAAATAGTGATTATCAGGTATGGAAAAACTGTAAATTGACATTAAAAGAATTGACTTCTTTATTATGATAATATTTATTATTTATGTAGTTTTCCTACAATGATGGGAGTAAATTTGGTGTTATATGCTTATGAAAAGGGAAAGGAAAACCAAAAGCCAGAGCCAAAGCAAAGACTCTGTGGGGCATTTCATCTCAGGCTAATTAATCAGAAGCAGGGGCATGAACTTTCTAGTCATGCTGGAGATAGAGTATACAAATTACAGAATTTCTTGAAGTACAGAATTTATAAGTAAACATTATTGTCCCATACGTTTAAAAAGTTTGCACTAAGGTTAGGTCTACACTACCAGTTTTTGTCAATAAAACTTATGTCGACACCCAAAAGTCAACAAAACAAAAATCAGCAAAGGAAGTTCCCCTGTTGACAGATCACGTCTACGCTAGGGTGGCACCATCATCAACACTGTGAAAATGCTCACGTATATATCCCAGGTGCAGTGTTGTGGAAAAGCAGAGCTGATCCCTGCACATCTTGGGATTCCCTCTGAGTTCTCTCACAGCTTCCTCAGCTGCCAGAATTGGCATCATGAGTAGCTCTGTGAGCGCTCCATGCTGAGGAATGTCAAAGTAGTAGAACACTCTGTCCTGCAGCTGTATTCCTAGTGCAGCGTAGAACAGGAGCAGTTCAATGAACTCTTTGTTTGATCCCCAGAGCAACACACTCAGCTGTCAGATACTTCCCAGAGCTATGATAGGAGAGGGGCACATGCCTGCAGGGCAGCAGAGCACAAAACGCTGAGCAGGACAAGCATGGGATATGGAGGAAGCCAGTTCTTTTGACACAACAAACACCAGTGTCTATGCTCTTTGTTGACAATAGAGGAGGGGAAAAGAAAAAAGTCTCAGGTAGGGGTAGAAGTTTTTCTTGCTGAAACTGGGGATATTTCCCCAACAAAACTCCTGTTGAAGTGTGTATGCTCTGGGGGTATGTCTACACTACAAAGTTAATTCGAATTAACTTTCACAGGCGCTACACTAGCGCTCCGCTAGTTCGAACTTAATTCGAACTAGCGGAGCGCTTAGTTCGAACTAGGTAAACCTCATTTCACGAGGACTAAGCCTAGTTCGAACTTACTAGTTCGAATTAAGGGCTGTGTAGCCCCTTAATTCGAACTAGTGGGAGGCTAGCCCTTCCCAGCTTTCCCTGGTGGCCACTCTGGGCACCACCAGGGAAACTCGTATGCCCCCCTCCCGGCCCCGGAGCCCTTAAAGGGGCACGGGCTGGCTACGGTGCCTGAGCCAGGTGCAAGCCTGCCAGCACCCAGCCAGCAGACCCTGCACCTGGCACGGCACAGAGCCACCCACCTGATGTCCCCCAGCCCACCCCCTCTTCCCGGGACCAGGCTGGCGGCTCCCGGGAGCTTTCCCTGGACCGCAAGAGGCGGGTACATTCCTGGGCTAGTGCGGACATCGTGGACCTCGTCCACGATCTCCGCACTAGGCACAGGAAAGTGGCCATCTAGGGCAGGAGAGC